AGCGAAATGTAACAGCCAGCCGTGGACCATAGGACCCTTTGTGTGAGCTATATACAATAAAGAACTTTCTCCATCCTGCTGACATGGAGACGGAATTGTACAGATCAGCAGATATGAGATATGTATTCGAGAAGCTGCAGTCCCCATCGGTCTGGAGGCTTTTGGAGGGGGGGGCCCCCCCCTCACATCTCAGGATCGGCGTCCATACAACTCTCCCACGGGTTCCTGGGCATCCGGGGTAAGGAGATGAGCACCAGGGCGATGCCGCACATGAAGAGCAGGGCGAAGGCGGCGCAGGCGCAGCCGAAGGACCAGGAGTAGTAATACTCGATCCAGACGGTCTCCTTGCTGTCAATCATCCTGTGCACCGACTGCCTGATGACCTCCGCCGAGATGATCATACACAGGCCTGGAACATGGAAATGACACGTCAGAGGAATGATCTGCAATGTGGACCCCCCACCTCGCTCCCCGCTGGAAGACTCCTGCCTCATGGTTACCCTCTCTGGTGACTCATAAGTATTAATGTCAGGGGCCTTCCTTTCTTTTATGACAGGTGCACTTTAAAACCCAACTGCAGCCCAGAATTTTGTGAGCATTCTTCACTTACAAAGGAGGAGGAGGAGAAAGTTTGGGATGAACAATAAAAACTCTTCCCCCCGTTCTACTAAATATCTGCGCTTTGTGTTACTACCTCCCGTCCCATCAGACAGACTCTTCCCGTCCATGCAACACCCCATATCTGGAACAGGAAGTGAGGAGAAACATCCCCATGGGGGGGGGGTGCAGACAACAAATCAAACCCAATAGGTGTTCTCTAACCCTTCCTCACCCCATCCAAAACACCAAAATTCAAGCTTTGGGGGACTCCTGCAGTCATTGGGGCTTCTGGTTCCCCCCCCCCCCCCCTGTGAGGGGACCGTACAGTAGATACATCAATATAACGGCGCACTGACCTGCGAAGATGTAGAAGAGGCCGGCCGGTTTCAGCAGGTAGTCCAGCTTCTCCCTAAAGGACAGCAGGGTGCAGATGGTGCCCATCGTCATGAAGCCGACCCCAATGATGGCAATGGCTGCAGCCGAGATGCTGTACTCTGCAGAGACATGAATCAGGGTAAGGGGGGGTATTCTTAGCCCTGACCTCCCCCCCCCCCCTTCCCTCCTAAGGTGCGGGGTGAAGGGGGATTGATGAGGACAATTATAAATGTGAAGACTGGATGAACAAGGAGATCCATGCCATTCCTCTGAGGCCGCCTCTGTCTACTATGTATAAGTCATTGCTGTTATTCCAGCATTGAGTCCATGATTCAGGAATACATGCAGCATAGACATCGTCATCTTCCACATCATAATTATCTCCATGCTTCTAATTTCCAGTTGTCGCCCTGCAACAGGAAGTTCTTGAACAAGGATCATCAGGACAGGATCTTTTGTAACGCTCTCTTCATTTCACACAAATGACTTTAGAAATTCCATTGATATTGAGGCATTGTTCACACCAAATGCAGAGCAGATCCGCATGAGTTTCTGCACACGCAGTGCAGTGGGTTGTGCCACGCTTTTGATGCTTTCCGGGCCGTTTTTGTTAAAAAAATTAATTATTTTGTAGTTTAAAATGGGCTTTCAGTGCGTTCCAGGCGTTTGCATGCGTTTCAGAGCAGGTAAAATAGGGCCTGCTGCAGTTTTTTTTACCTGCTCTGGACCTGAACTCTACGAGGTGAACTGGAGCTAAAAATCCCATTTGGAATACATTGGACGCAGTTTTGCTCCGGTCTGTAACTGCTCCACTCCTGCTCCACGCTAGGTGTGAACAAGGCCTCAAGCTTCTGTAAGATATTAGTGATCAGAGATGGAATGTTACTGCTGAACCTAGACTATAAAGTTACAAAGTATCACTATGACCGTCTATAGTCCTGTGCAGAGGAATACAAAGTATCACCATGAATACAAAGTATCACTATGACCGTCTATAGTCCTGTGCAGAGGAATACAAAGTATCACTATGGCGGTCTACAGTCCTGTGCAGAGGAATACAAAGTATCACTATGACCGTCTATAGTCCTGTGCAGAGGAATACAAAGTATCACCATGAATACAAAGTATCACTATGACCGTCTATAGTCCTGTGCAGAGGAATACAAAGTATCACTATGGCAGTCTATAGTCCTGTGCAGAGGAATACAAAGTATCACTATGGCAGTCTATAGTCCTGTGCAGAGGAATCCTCATCAAGCAGCATGGGGGACTTTATATCACTGGACCCTAATGCCGGGAGACCCTCAGAGATGATTCTAATACTAGGATGGGAAGTATGACGGCACCGTGTAGTGACAACTCATCAGACGCACACATGTGCAGCAAAGAGCAATGATCGCATATACAGTACAATATCATATTGCTGATCTCTAGTTCATCTTATTGTTTGGCTGCGGTTACAGTGCCGGGGTTGTGTCCTCGGGATGATGTAGCAGAGGAGATGATGTGATGATTCTGAGGACCGGCGTTCACTCCTTTATTCACCAGAAACACATCTTATAGCAAAGAGGCGCAGCCGACGTCTCCCGTACCTTTCTGAGTGGTGACTTGTAAGATCTCCGCGTTCTCTCCAGACGTGAAGTGTTTGAAGTAAGAGCAGTTTGTCGCTGGAAGAGAAGATAACTATTCAATATCACTACCATTCATTTATACAGCTCCAACATATACCACATTTCCCACTCCAAACTTATTTTCCTCTCCTGCAGGGCCCTCTTCCTCGTCTCAGCAGCCAGGGGGTGGGGCTAAGGGGAGAGGGTCCTCACACAGCAATAGGTGCTGCCTGCTTCTCCAGCCTTGCCGCACAGCCGCCATGTATATGCTGCGGGTGGCTGTGCGGCAGGGAAGGAGCGGCACAATCTCGGGGGGGCCCTCTTCTTCCTCGCTGCCCCCCCAAGTGGCGAAACGCCAGGGCCCGATCGCAATTGCGACCCTGGTAGTTCCGCCAGTGGTTCCAACTGAATGTCAAACAAAACTAAACAGAAGGTTTTAGCTGAGGCAGTTCACTTTTTCCATCCCTGCTGCCATTGCGGAGTCATCATCCTGCGTTGTCTTTGCCTAGAAGCTCCTCGGAATCATCATCAGATCTCAACGGTGCCTGGACGATGCTGAAAATGATTCAATGTGAGCGTTCCCACAGCCAAATTATTGTTACATTGTAACATGGATCCAAAAACACTGACAGACAGGCGGAAAGCATGTTATTCTCCTCTTCAGTGAACGTGTGTGTGTGTGTGTGTGTAGATGACAGGTGCTCTTTAAGTGCTTTAGAATCTGTTGACCATCTGCTCAGC